ACATACATTGTAATACAAAACATAACAAAACCAGAAAATAAAATACATAAAATGCAAAGAAATATAATAAACACTACAAACAATATAAAACAAGCAATTAAAAACAGAGGATTTCACTGGACAGGGCCATATTCAAGGCTAAATTTTTTAAAAACACTGGGAGATAGGATGATGTAAATTATCAGGATGAGGATCTGAGAATGAGGGAGGATTCAATTGCACGAACCATAAATAAAGTGCTTCTAAGGACATTTATTGCAAAGTTTGGTCAGGGAGTTTCTTACATTCAATCACTGAAGGCACATTGGAATAGCCAGGTTTTCAGATTCCTCCTGAAGATTGCTAGCGTGGGGGGTTGTCTAATATCTCTCGGGAGTGAGTTCCAGAGCCAGGGGGCCACCACAGAGAAAGCCCTCTCACTCGTCCCCGCAAGTTGCACTTGAGATGCCGGCGGGAGCAAGAGAAGAGCCTCTCCGGAAGATCATAGATGGAAATATTATAATGTAATATAATATAATAGTACTAATAATAATACAATCTAATTATATATTTTATATTACATGTAATATTACTAATAATATTACAATATAATGGTGTAGTACAATATAGTAATATATAATACTGATATTGTACTATGCTAATCTTGTAAACCACTCTGGGTCCCCTTTGGGGTGAGAAGGATGGCATATAAATGTCATAAATAAATAAAAAATACTATACCATACCTTAAATTCTATATTGACTTGATATTAATAGTGTAATACTGTAATGAAAAACAAAATGAGATGAATAAAGACTTAATGTAACACAGCTCTGCTGGATTATAAAAACAGCTTTGTGAATGTAAGCTGCAATTTTAGTTAAATGGCAGTCAATAAACTTTTCAACTTAGTGGCCTTCATGTGGTGCACAAAGTGTGGGCTTACTGTGCAGAAAGCCAAGTTGACTTACGTTTATTTTAAGTTTTATTATTTCTTTGATTTTTTTCTGGTTACGGGAGAGTTCCAGTTGCTTAATTCCAGTTAACTGAGAGTCTGCTGTAGTATGAAAAAATTGTAAATGTTTAGGAAATGTATAATCCACATATTTTACGATGATTTGGAAATCTGCATAACCCTAGATGGTGTGGGTGTAATAGCTAAATAAATAGCATCACTGATGTAGTGATGTTGGTTCATATGCTAACATTTAAAAATTCAGAAAGCGATCTGAACATATTACTTGATCAGCCACCGTGCTTGTGATTTGTTGCAGTTTGGAAAAGGAGAACCTATTTTCTGAAACAGCTGCACTATTGTTTTTCTGTATGTGTTTTGAAAAGTCTAGAACAAAGATATTGAGTGATTCTGCCAAACATTTCTGTTTTAGACCTGATCAGTGGGATGCAAAGGTGGATTCTAACTGTAATGGAATATGGGTAAGTTGCTAGATATTCTATTGAAACCTTATCACCTTTGATCTTTCCCTATTTTGGAATCAGATTTTTAGTTTCTCTGTCATGGATTTGTGAAAGCGTACATTTCTGCAAACCAAGCATAACAAAACCATTTCTCAACGTAATATAGGGACAAATCAGTTCTACAGCAAAAGTGATAATATTAAAATTGTCACAGGGAAATTCTAATCCTTCTGATTTTTTTTGGACAGTGAGACAAGATAATTCTTGTTTTAGGGAGTACTGAACATAATGAGGCAGTTTGGAAAGTTACTTTTGAAAATTATTTTGGTCCTGTCATTCATTATTGTCTTGGGAAGATTATTATTTGCCATTATTTGTTATTAATGTTTTAAAAATTAATGTATTACGTTATTCATTGATTTTTGTTGCATTTTTGCATATTACTTGGGAGGTATTTTTTGGAAAAAATATGATAATATAATGAATCTTTTATAATTTTAGTCAAGATACTTTAAAAATACAATTTTAAATTAATACAAAGACATGTGATGGGTGATAATCCCCAAAGATAGGGGAAGAACAGAAGCACCTCTTTGTGTTAGCACTGGAGGTTTA